CACATTCCCATACTAATGCATGAAAAATAGGCAAACATACATTTTCACTGTTGTTATAAAGCTACTTATTTGATTTTTTTTTTATAAAACGAGCTATGCATTGACCTGCAATAGGGTCTTAAAACACAATTACCATCAAGACTGATCTTCATATTCCATTTTCCTTAACTATCTGAAAATGAAAGCCTGTCTTTTCACCATGTACTTTTCAAAATGTTTATTAATGCTACCACAAGGCCAGTAAAATCTTCATATTACACTTCCAGAACACTTGACAATACATTTCAAGGCTGCAACACAAGCTGATGTACAGAGTGTACAACCTTGTTTTTTCCATAATGGAAGTAAAACTCCCCTCCAGCATGCCCAGGATATTAGAGCTAATAGCTTTACAGGGCACACGTTCAACTGGGGTGACAAGTAGTTTACTTGACAAACTTAGAGCAACAAAGTACTGAAAACTAGAAGTGGATGTGTGAGGAGCTGCAGTCCTACTGTTGTTCTGCTTTAAGCCAAAACAAAAAAAAAGTTGTTCCTCCATGCCTCTCTCTCCCTTTTCTTTTATCACATTTTAAAGGTGCTATGCAGTTTGGTACAACTGAGTGTCTCTGGTTTGGAGACCCAGCACTGGCTGTATCACAGTTAAGACTAAGATCCAGTTCTTTGCGAGAAGCTTGTACACAATCTCTGGAAACAGGAGATTTCTGTAAGGGCTCAAACAAGTCCTACTAGTCTCCAACTTAGGGCTCACAAACATCCATTCATGACCTGCACAGGCCTTGTCTTGAAGACCATTTGGAAAGCGGTGGTGAAGCTCTGACTAGCACAGAAGGCAGCCCCCTCCTTGCTGGGTGGCCCAGATGGCAATATGCAGGCTTTCCATTTGTTTTCAGTTGCAAATAAAACATTGACCAATACAGGGTCTTGTCTTCCATACAGGGCCTTGCAGTAGAAGTCTGCCCCTCTCTCTGCTGGGCTTTGTTGGACCATACAAGCTATCAGAGCCTACAATAACCAATCACCTGTTGTTTAAATGGACAAACTTAGCTGGAAGATCCTCATCTCTAGAATTAAGGCAGACCCTGTTGTCTTTCTGAGCAAAAGACTCGTATGTTTTTGCAGATTATTGCCAGACTAAGATATGATTTAGTGGTTATCCCTCCACTGTTGAAATTGGTCAGCACATTACATTATTCATAGATACTAGGGTCGGAAGGGACCTCAACAGATAACAGATTGAGTCCGACTCCCTGCCTAGGCAGGAAAGAGTGCTGGGGTCAGATGACCCCAGCCAGGTGCCTATCCAGCCTTCTCTCAAAGACCCCCAAGGTAGGGGAGAGCACCACCTCCCTTGGAAGCCCAGTCCAGATTCTGGCCACCCTTACCGTGAAGAAATTTTTCCTGATATCTAGCTTAAATCTGCTCTCTGTCAGTTTGTGACCATTGTTCCTTGTTCAAATCTCTCTCAACTATGGTCTAACCAATGCCGCACAGAGGGGAAGTATCACCACCTTGGTTCTGTTTGTCATGCATCTGCTGATGCATGATAAAGTGCGGTTAGCTTCGCTGATGATTTTGTCACGCTGAAGACTCATGTGCATCTTGGAGTCCGCTATGGACTGGTTGCCCTGCTGCATCAATTTTCCTGCTGGACTCCCACAGATATGGTCCTTCATAATCTTTTCAAAGACCTTTCCAAAGATGGAGGTGACAGTACATTACATGAAGCTGTTTCTTCTTTAACATCATTCAGGGCTGAGGCGTATGTGGATCTTAAAAAAAAAAAAATTGCAGTTTTTTTGTCATCTTACATGAGCACAATGAAAGAAGTGATGAATTACGGCCAGTGATCAGAACATCAGCATTATAAGCTTCTTGGTGCTGTAATATTTTGCCATCATATTTTGGTGGCACTTTGTGGTAGGCCTTCACATAGTTGTCCCGCTGAATCTACTCAGGTTGACTGTACTTCGTAGCTTTTGTAAGGAAAATTCCCACTCCTCTGCAAAACACTGGACCTTTCTAACAGCAAGGAACAAAGATACAGACCCACGGGCTGTCAGACTCCTAGGGAAATCTGTGTGCACAGCCTCAATTATAACCTCCAGTAGAATGGGTAGGAAAAAACAAAAGTGTTTGGACTTTCAGAAGCTCCACTGGACCAAAATGCCATCTGATGAATTGAATGTGAAAGACACTGGGTTTTTTTTCACTGGGGAATAGGAGCCAATCAACAAAGCACCAAGCTGTCACTCCTGAGACCATTGTTTAAATACAGATGGGATTCTAAATGAGAAGAGTGTGGTAACCTCAAAACAATCCTTAATTTATGTAAAAATCCACCAGTTTATGATCCTTAATTACTGTTTTCTTTGCTGCACACATGCAACTCAAATTACAATTAATGAAAGATACGTGCACATGTGGAGAGAGAGAAAAAAAATATTGTCCTATTTGAACTCATTCCCTAAAAACACTCAATGGCAGCATTTTGTCAGTCAGCATCTATAGAACATTCCTGCATAATATCATTAAGAGTGAAAGATGTGGAAAATGAAGCTCTAGAAACAACAGCTGGAGGTTCCTATCAGACTCAAATAGGAAACAATCTGTTCCAGGATATCTCTTTCACTCCAGTAATACAGCACTCCCTACAATACAATGGTTAAACACCCTAGCTATATAATGATGTGCTAACATGAGCTACAGCTACTGCAGTTTAAATGAGCCCCATATATTGCATCAGTAAAACTATCACAAGTTGGGTTGCATTAAATGTCCTTCACACTTCTGGTTTCAAAAGGAAATACTAAAATTACAGAGACTGAAATTTAGTTTCAGGAATGAGTCGAGTTATTCCACTACAATGGCTCCTGTAAACTATACAAGCGAGTGCTGGGGATGAGATGGGGCGGGGAAGACTATTGTATCGGTATGTAAGAAATAACTACAAGCAATATTTTAAACTAAAGACATTTAAGCTTCACTAAGAACATGAAAAAGCTTCAATACCATGTAGATAATCTGAATACTCTTCAAATGTGTTTTTGGAGCTAAACCAATATTTATCACCTTTCTAATAATAACCAAGAGTGTGTTTGGGGCAGGAGGGGTAGGGAACTAGAATTTGGGCATATAATATGAATTTATCTTCCTCTGATTGATCATCTGAAGTTTGATTGCCTAATGCTAACCCAAAGCACTATAATTTGTTATCAACTTCACTGACACTAGTAAGCACTGCAAACAATTACTTTTGCTACGAAACAATTCAATGCTTTCTCGTTTGGGTGGATACAGAGCGATATTCCCATAGCTGCTATTAAAATCATCACTATTATTCTGTGCATGTGACTGACAAAATATCTGTTTCCCCTGGGAACTGCTGTAAAACTGGAAGAGTCATTTCAACAGGACACCCATTTCTATTCACAAAGAGATAAATCCTTTATTTAGTAATAATTATCTATACACAGCTTAACAACGGAGTCATGGTAAGAAGTCTCTCCAGCTGAATGTTTACACAACATGATTTTAACTGGCGTTTTTTTGGACACTTGTTGCCTTTACTGTACAATTTACATTCCCATCCTGAAAAGAAACCTTGACATAATTTAAGACCTAGATTTCATGAATTGTATATCTCATAAGTGTTGATCCATAACTGTGCAAGCAGGGGCAACACTATAAAGGCATCTGCAATAGAGACTTCTACTTTCACATTTGTAAAAGCCTTGGATTTGCAAACTCATACTAGAATAGTAGCTCAAGCCATTTTCTTTGTTTGTCCTTATATGCTTTTTCACAAGACCCCCCCTCCTGCCCCCCAGAATTAAGAACACATACGTAAATTTGAAATGTTTAAAGCTGTTAAAGACAATATTCAGTGAAGCAGCAGCTGTTTTAAACTAAAGACCCATCTCAAATAAATATATATGTACAGAAGTAATGAGAGGTTGAAGTTCTTCCAGGAACAAGAAAATGTAAATAAAGATTTAATCCAGGCTTCACTACAACATAATAAATTGTAGTGAACTGGTTTAATTTGGACCAGAAGCATGTCACTGGTCAAAGAGACTTCCAAGCATAATGGAAAAATTACAGTTCAGAAAGAGTGAGGTAATATCTTCTGGATTTTAGCAGAATTTCCCCTCTGCAGTCGCAGAAGTTGGTGCCTCTCTACTTTTATTCAAGTCCTCCAAAGCTATGATTCTCTAGGTTAGCATGTACATTAAAATGTGCGCATAGACTGGTCTAGCAGAAGCTGTGGCACATGAACACAAACCAAAACTTAACATAGCCAGAGCCAAAATTTTACCTTCTAAGTGAACAAGAGGTTCACTAGGTGAAGAGCTACTACTAGTCTGATGATGCCTGCTGATAGGGCAAGATGTCCTACTTGTTATTTTGGTCCCCCACTTGTTTGTTACCATAATGCAAAATAGGGGCAACTGCAAAACTAAGTCCATCTGTAACCCTTCATTTCCAACAACTGGATCCGCTATCTGAGCAGGTGCTTCCTCTTCAACTACAGGAAGAGACACATGACATGGAAAAATTGTCATCTTATTACTAAATTACAGAAACTTCCTTCCATCTTCTATGTTCTGCTGCCCTCTTCTAAAGTTACAGTAGCGATGTGTAAAGCGAACCAAGGAATCAGACAAACAGGCAGGATGAACATTCAAATACAAATGCAAATAGTACTGCAATGTTTATCTGGAGTCTGCAGCATGGAAAAGTTTGACACCTCAAAAGAGGAGAAACACTGCCCAAAAGGTCATTTCAGTTCTACAGCCAAAGGTTGTTTCCTACACGTCTTTTTTGAGCAATTATTTACATTGTGGAGAGACCTTTAATTAACCCTCACCTCATTAGTTTTAATTAGTGATGACACACACAAGCATTTATTATTGAGATAAAATCTTTAGAAGGTGCCAACCAGCACAATTCTGCATCAAACCCTTGAAAAAAAATTAGCTGTGTTCATGTTACTTAAGGCTGAAAAAAGATCTTCCCTCTCCTGCAACAGTAATGACATTCACTGTACAATACATGCAAAAACCAAAAAAACCTTACAGTAATTAACTGCATAAACTTTACTTCTGCATTTACTCAGCTGCCAAAGCATGTTTCCTACATCATAATATTCCAGCATCGAAATCTGTATTGCTTTCAAATCACCTGTAACACGAGAGTAGTGTTAGATCTTTCATTCAGCAACAACTACAGTTGATAAGTCAGGCAACAGGTGGGCGACTCTCCATTGAGAAAAACATATCTTGATATTTTGCATTGTTCATGTAGCGCTAATTTCTAAAACTTGCAATGCTCAAGTAACGTGTCAAAGGAAACCATGTTTAAGATTGAAATGCTACTAAACACAACTTTCGTATGCCACTTGGCATATACAGCAGTAGATAGAAAGAAATTCATTGAACTGCATTTTTCTTTCAATAATAAAGGAAAAAAAAAATTTGATTTAGGAAAAGGGGGAGAAGAGTCTCCAAAGTGGCTTTTAGCAGCATTTTGCTAACTGTTTTTGGCAGTTAAAGATGATACTATTTTTGGGGTTGCTGTGCTGTTGTGAAAAATTTAAGAGAGACGTATTCAATTAGGGAAAATAAAAGGAAGACCCTAAACAGAAATAATTCTGAACTGTCACCAGAGACTAGCAAGATTTTATTTTGCCTTAAAACTACAAAATATGAATGCCATAAAAAAATCCTTGTACTGTGACATACTTTTTTACAATCATTCTTAATTGGGGGGTTACTAGCATGGATTAATTTATCCTTACACAATTAAAGAGAACAACAGACTAGCAACAATGAAAGAAATTTAAAGCTCAACTTGTAATTTAAATTGACACATTTTCATCAACAGCTGATGATAAGTTCAGCTGAATTAAAAGATACTACACCCCTGCCTGCCCCCCAACAAATTCAATTTGTAGTCCAATCTTCAGAGATATTCACCGATTGGAGTGCTTCACTTTCCAAAATGTCAGTCCTATAGCATCCTGCATCTGATTTTTCAGAGGAACTTAGGCTCCCATTTACTTCAAAAGGCAAATGGGACCTGAGCATCCAAAAGCAGTGAAAATTCCTAAAAACTTTGGCTTTTGTCTTGTCCTTTCACTTACTTTATTTCGTTTGGAAGCAAACAGAATAGCAAATAAATGTTTCAGTTCACTAAAAATAACTGTCAAGACTTGACCGCAACATTCAAGGTTTCTCCAGCAATTAATGCCACAACTAAGGACAAGTTCACACATGAAAGTTTACCAGCATAATTATACTCCTCTGGTTATACTGGTATAACTCTAACTGGTGACATAAGTGAACCAAAATTGCATCTTTTTCTGGAGTAAGAAAGTCTATGCAATACATTATACCAGTATAACTATGGCAGTGTAATTATGCTGGCACATTTCCCCATGGCAATATCTTAGGACCTATAACCAGAGGCCAACAAAATCCTACAAGTTGCATGGGGATCTGAAATTTTTCAGCACCTCACAGGTGTGGACCTTGGGTTTAGAAGCCCACTGGAGCAATTGGCAGAACAACATTTAGGTCCATTTCTCATACACTCGTGCAAATGATTAAATGCATCGCTCCTTTACATGCTGGTTTCACTTGTCCATGCCTGAAATGAAGTTGATGACTGCATTCTGTTTAGGTATTCTAGCAGATGCCAAGGACACAGACTCTTGAACTACACATTTGGCAGGTAAATAGTGGAGAAGCTTTATAATTCTAATATTTTGCTTTACAACATTTATTGGTAAATGAAATCAACATTATAGTTTCTTAATGTAGACTTGCATCCAGTTCTTAAAAATACATTTAGCTCACCTTTAAAAGGAATGCTTTGATGTTTTATAGAGGGGGAAGTACAAAAGTTATTTTGGAGGAGTAAGCGGAGTGGTTCCAGTTTTGACTCTGCAATCAGAGGTTGTTGTTTTTTGGGTTTTTTTTTTTGCTTTGTTGATTTTTAAAAAAAGCAAATTATTCCAAACCAGACAGACATTTAAGAACTTAAATTACACCTTATTCATTAGTGAATATATTCAAGTTAACTGAATTACATTAAAAATATAAAACATTGTTACCAACCATCAATGATGAAAAATAATATAGGCTAAGAACAAGCCTGTGTACCACTTAATAATACATCTTGGGGGGAGTCCAATAATAATACATCTTCGGGAGTCCAATCTTTGCCACATGAAACAGTAGAAGTCATCTGACAAGTAGTTGTCAGTGAAATGTACAAATGTCTGAAACTGCCATAAAAATATACATTGTTAATTAGCAATAAGTTGAGATTTCAAAAAAAGTTCAGCTCTTGAAGATCTTAATAAATATTAAAGATTCTCAAAAAATGTGGAAATAAAATCCTTTGGTTAACATTACGCTTCACTGAGAAACTGTAAAAATAAAACAAAACCAGGAACTGTATGAATTATTTGATTTTTAAAACAAGAGCTGTGCTTCAGTGCAATATTAAAGTTGCCATTTAACCTGTTGTAGAAAATAATTCCTGCACCCCATTTAGCATGAGCAGTTTCCACAGCCTTTCACACTATTGATAATTTCTTCTTGTAGTTTCTTCCTTTCCTCCTCTTTGGACATATGGTTATTTTGCTTTTCCCATTTCTGGTCACTATTGCTAGTCTGTATTTTGCTGCTCTGTGTGTGCCACATTTCATAGTAGAGACTGTTGGGACTGGTGAGAAGATCAAAATGGCTACCACGTTCAGCAACTTTACCCTGTAAAATATAAAGTTAGAGATTAAATCCTACCAGATCTATTGAGCATAAGGACAGCGTGGCCCAGAGTTTTACAGTGTGGTTCTTGGCAATCCCCAGCTTTAATAAAGGGGTGGCAGGAGTGCAGAGCTCAGGTGGGTAGAGTGTGGGTGTGAGGGAGGATGGCAGGGGTACAGGGACCGCCCCCCCCCGGCCACACACTTCCCCAAATGGCGTGAATCCCTCGCTGACAGCAGCAGTAGGCAGGGGTGCTTGTGCCCCGTGCTGACACCTGGCAACATGGGGCCCTGTCCACTGCTGCACATGGGGACAAGGAATGCAGCCTGCCCAGCCTGCCTTTATCGTAGGGGCTCTGCACAGTGCGGCACGCCTGCAGCTCCCACACTCATGCAGCACCAGGGGAAGCCTCATCCTGGAACCGGCTGCCTTTGCCGCCCCCTGCTGTGCAGGTCCCAGGACTCTGTGGGGAAGCAGGGTGTGGCAGAATGCCACCTCTGTCTCTCCCCAAAAACTCTGCTGCGTGACAATTTGGTTAACATGGTCCCTGCAAAGGGCAGACATCCCTCTCTCAAGTAACACTAAGTTGTAACCTGAGCTGGATACGTTCTGGAGGGAGGGGGGAAACCTGTTCCCTCTGCCTATGTGACTGGCATCACATATCTGGGTGAGGGGCTTATGCTCCCTATTACTCTAAGCAATACCAACCTGACTGGGAAGGGGCTAGAGACCCTGCCAGTCTACCCGGCAACCAGTGATGCGTTTCAAATTGGTTGGCTGGCAGCCAACAGGTGCTGGCCTCCACTGGACCAGGTAAATGAGGTCATAAGGTCTATATAGAGTTAAGGACTGCCCAGGAGAAGGGGCAGTAGCCATGATGAAAACTCAGAGAAGAGCTGGACCACCTGAAACTTGCTCTCTCTCTTGAAACTCATGATCAATGAACTGTCTACCTCCAGAGGGAATCTCCACCTGCCTCTAGATAATACTTGTGAGTAAGCTACCTGAGATCTAGCTAGATATATAGCTTGCAGTAACTCAGATACATGATCAAAGGCTACCCAGCCATGCCAGTTTGCTCTATGAGATTTCTGATATTGCTCAACCCTGTACCCTATTTCAAACCTACTCCTTGTAACCAATAAAGTTCTCCTTTGTACCTAGCGTGGGAGACTGATTGGGAGTGGGTCTAGATTATGCCTTGGGGTCCCCTTGGTTTGGTTGACTAAGGGAGACCACTATTTGTGCTTCAGGCTTGCATTTCCCAGGGGGCACAGGGCCAGGATCACTCCAGACCCTATGTGGTGGCAGCATTACCCAGGCTAGCAGGTGTGCTCCAGGAAGGGGTTTGGCCAGATGTGAGGTGCCCCCAGGGAGGCACTTGGAGCCTGGAAGGTGGTTGGGTACAGTGAGGTAGATGGCTCAGCACAGGAGCACTCCCTACTGACCTGCCACACAGGGCTCCCTCCAGTCCTGGCAGAGTGCTGGGACTTGTGCAGCAGGAGGCAGAGAAGGTAGTCGGCTCCAGCACGGGGCTTCCCCTGGTGCTGCATGAGTATTAGAGCTGCAGGTGCGCTGCGCGGAGCCCCCACAATAAAGGCGGGCTGGGCAGGCTGAATTCCTTGCCCCCATGTGCATCACTGGACAGAGCCTCACGCATCCAGGTGCCAGCAAGGGGCACATGTGCCCCTGACCACTGCTGCTGCTTTGCAGCAGGGGTTTGAGGGGGCCCCTGCACCCTCCTACCCTCTCACACCCATACTCTGCCCCCCACAACTGCCCCACATATACACACCCACTCAATCCCTAGGGCCCCCCCACCAGTCAATCATACACACACCTCCAACCCCCCCCACAACACACTATACCAAGGTAAGATTTTATTGTTGAGTTACTATGCAACCCCCTCTATATACAGTATGCAAACACAAGTCATGACAAATATTTTGTGCAATAAAATTAAAATTTATTATAGTAGATATATTTGACTTTTAGTGCATTTGTTTTTTTTTCTGGTTTTAAGATGGCAATCCTTCCCTCCAAAAGGAGTATTTCCAGGGGGACAAGAGGAGGGACTTTCGGTGGCAAAGGTCAGGGGGTAGGGGTGGGACTTCCAGTCCCAATATGATGACCAGGGGTGTAAGGCAATGGTCAAGGGGCAGGGCTACCAATGCAGCCCTCAACAGCTCACCAAAACTTGTTAAGCGGCCCTCCAGCTGAAATAATTGCCTGCCCCTGTGTTAAACAGTTCTGGAGTGCTCTCTAATTCTGAAAACTGAATTCCGACCTTGGTCTCAGTGTGACAAAACTTAAAACTTGCCTGCCTGCCAAGTTTAAAATACTACTAACGTGCTATTTAAAATGGGTTAGTGCTACATACAACTGCTAGGTGTTGTTACTAGTATTCCTGTAGAGTATAGCCCACGTGGATGTGCCAGAATGAGTACGTCACATATATTGGCTTAGCTTAAGTTGATTAGGAACAGTTTTAACTTAAAAGCCACTCTTAAGCCCCAAATAAAAATACCTACAGAGAGATCCATAGTTAAGCCAGAATTAACATGATCAAGTTAAATTGGTGAACTCATATGTTTAAAACTCCCCAGTTCGTGACTGCACTTTCCAAAGCAGTATTAAGACCATACAGTATCTAGCTGCATCCTGTATTCAATGTGGGTTAGAAAACTGTCTTATGAATTGTCTCCACTAAAAACTACAGGCAACCATGCTACCTTTTTTTGATAGAGAACTGTGTAAGAGACATACTTACACTTGCTTCAAAAGAAAAGGATGCATTTGTTTTCTCTTGCTGCTCTTACAAGTCATTTTGGGAAAAATTGGCATTTATATGCACAACTGCATAGATTTTGTATTAGTTCCAAACTCTGATCTACAGTTAAATTTACCTCCTTGTGTGACAGCTGCTGATGAACATGCTGGGAAACAAAATTGGGTCTTGTCACTTTTATTACTTCTCATGCTGGCAAAACGTTAACAAAGATGCACTTTGCCAACTTAACTATGGAATTTTGTAAAATTCCAAGTGATTAATTTAGAGAGTTCACTCTGCTGGGCTCTGGAAACAAAACTGTTTCAAGGAACCTTTTCAGTCCTTGAAAACAATTCCATCTTCTTCACCTAGCTTTGAAGCACTGACCTCAATATCATTAATAAGGGGCTTGTCCACTTACTGGTGCAAGAGTTATTTTGATTTTTAGTACATGAGAAAAATGCTAAACCTGTGAAATTATACAGCTACTTTTGCTTTGTGATGTACATATTGTTTCCCAGTCCCTTCACCACTCTTGATGCTTCTTTAACTGGCTCTCCTAATAGCCTAAAGGGTACAGCAGGGGTAAACAAGCACCTTTCACAGAGCAAGAAGCAACAAGGCTTCATGAGCCAGCCAGCTGGCAGGGCAGGACGCATCTTATTGTCTGACTGAGCATATCATTGGGTAGAAAGCAACACGTCTTATGAACCTGAGCTTCGCAGCTGTTCTGCTGTTACTATGTTACTGGTTTAATTTTGTGCATCTTTAAAATTCAACAATTCAAAACACTGTGCTGTCCTGAACTGTATTACAATGTCTTGTATGGGTTTTACAAGTATAATAAATCTAAAGAAAATGAAGTACAATTATAAAAAAGGTCCCGACCAAGTAATATATACTATTTAAATGTTTAACAAAAGCTGAAAGTGGCAGGAAATTTAGGCTATTTAATTTCATCTCTTTTGTCTCTTCCATGTGAAGCTCAGGTGATATTCAGATACCATTGCTCTGAAAATACCTTTAAGAAAGTCCTGCATCACCATTTGTTGTACCCACTCAAAATCCTGTCTGCTTTTCTTCTAGTTATATTTCAGTCAAGACTTCTAGGATTATGAGCACAAGAGTAGCAATTAAAGAGAACTAATTACACAGTGTTAAATTTAAGATCCATAACATGTAAGCTAAAGTAATTAATATTGATGAACTTACCAACCTTTAAAAAAAAGAAAAATTTAAAACTAATTTAACTCCATTCCCAAGATTTAACAGAAAGGAGGTGAACTTAGAACAGAGAGCATGAGGTGATACCTAAACAGTGATATAAATCAATCAAGTCCTGAAAGGTCTTCCTTGGGAGGAAAGGGGAGAAATACAAGTAAGGATAATTACAATTTTCTAGAGCTACAGTAGAAAATGGTGCTCAGATTCCTAACATAATTAGACTGAATAATCCTGCAACAATTTATCTGCAGACACACCTAAACATGCTGTCCTCTTTTCTATTGAGAGAGAAACAATGGATATTTGGAAAATGGCCACTCACTGGTAAAAATGAAGTATAATAAAAGGTGTGCATATTGGGAATGCACACTGACAGGAATCCATAATAAATTAAAGAAAAAATGTGCAACACCCTAAACCAGTGGTGCTCAACCTTTTGGCCCCACAGACCACATGGGCAGTGCCAGGTCCACACTGGGCTGGTGGGCCCAATTTGGCAAATGGGGTGAATACAGAGAGGCCCAACTGATCTGCAGAGATTTGTGGAGGGCTGTGGCCCAGTGCTGATCCAGCTGCACAGGGGGCATGAGGCATGGCTTTGGAACTTGGCAGCAGGGGAGAGGTGGTAGTGTTGTCATATTTACCAGAATAGAAGACAAGGTCCGCCCCTGTTCCCCACCCCCTCCCCTGCAATCAGTAAGAGGGAAAATGCCCCACATTTTATATTTGCATACAAGAAAACCCTATTAAATACACTGGTGCCTGCGGTCAGTAATGGAAACAAACTATGAAGATGATTAAATGCAGCCAACACCGAGTATGACTATAAAACACATGTCTCATATTGGACACACATGCTGATGGGAACCTACCACAAAGAGCGATTAGCACAGCCCATCTGGATAAGACACATGGTAATGCACACTGAGCACAGTGCCCCTCAGTGCTGACTTTTAAAAATTATGGTGAGCCACTACAATGCATACGTATTCACTTCCTCTTCACTCCCACAGCTGAGCTGTGACTTTCTTTCCCATTTCTTCACCAGCCCCTAAACATCTGGCAAACATCACCAACCAGGGCCTCAAACAGTTTACACAGAATCCCTCTGTTGCCCCCTCGCTCAGCTTGTTGCATATGATTAGTGTGGCCCTACGCTCTGGAGGTGAAGCTGGACCAGTTCACCCTGCACCTCATCTGCATATACATTTTTGGAGGATCCCAGGACCTGTGACAAGAATCCCCTGGTTCCAGTCATAAGTGGGAGGCTAATTAGCTCATGGATCTTCTGTAGGAGGTATTTGGAGTACATATAAATGTGCTGAGCTATGGGGTCACCATGGCTTGAAATCCTGTGGACTCTGCTGGGGCCCAGCCCAATGAACTATATGACATGACAAAGGGGTTACCTGACCCTTTCCCAGATTTATTTTCCCTGCTGCAGCAGTAGGAAGGGGACAAATTCAAGGCAAACCTCCTATACCTGGAAAATTATAACAAATTTATTAATTTTCCATATACAGAATTGAATTATTGGGGGGTTGTCTTGTATTCAGAGCAATCTTATATTCAAGTGAATATGGCAATCACCACTCCTCCTCCACTGCCAAATTTCCTGACTTTAGGAACTCTGTGGGCCAGATGCCATAGCTCTGCAGGCTGCATTTGGCCTTCAGGTTGGGGTTTGAGCACCCCTGCCCTAAACCAAGACCAGACCATCCCAGAAAACCTTATAACCTATTTAAAAATACATGCAATTAAAACACAACACACACACATGCATGCACATGTATGCATATATATTTTGCTACTGATAAACTGTAGTTGTTGCAAAGGGAGCTATATCAGCATTTCTCAAATTGTGGGTTGCAACCCAAAATGGGTTGCAAGAATAAATGAGTCATAAACAAACTTTAAAAACAGATTCTCCTTTAAAGGAGAAAAGCATGGGAAACCATGGGTTTTCCCTTGCAGGCTGGTAGAGTTCCAGCCTGCAAGGGGCTACTCGGAGCGCCCCCCATGCTCAACACCCACCCACCCCTGCCTCACACACTGGGGGTTGGGGGCAGAGAGTTGGGAGTGAGGGGTGCCAGGAGGACCAGGGGGCTGCTTTCTACTTAATCTGTTTACTGGGTCGGGACTGGTCATCCATCTTTACAAATGGGTTCTGGTACAAAAAACACTGAGAACCACTGATCTATATAAAGACAGAATTGTGCTAGATTTTAACACACACATACAAAATCACTAACAGACACAGACACATCAAAGTACAACTTTAGAAGATGATGATCTCACCTGATTCAGGACAATGATTTCATCTGCATCCACTACTGTTGACAATCTGTGGGCAATGAAAACAGATGTTCTGTGCTTCACCATGTCCCTCATGGCATTCAGAATGTTCTGCAAGATGAAAAGTGCCGGTGTATGTGTGCACACATATATTGTACCCATTTACGAGGAACTAAAATCAGGTCATTTAACATGTCAAACAATGCAGGAGAAAGCATTCAGTAGTGCCAAAGCCCCCAAAAGAGAACTATGAAATTTATGGAAGATGACAGAGAGAGCCAAGAAATAAGACATGACTAATTCTTTACAATTCCAAGGGAAGCCAAGAGGGGTTCAATTCACAGAGGAGCAAGGGGATGAAGGAACTGAGGTGTTTGATTGGATTCAAAAAAACATTTGTAATTTGGCTGAGCAAGAAACAGTGTTGCTAGCAGTGACAAAAAAGTGAGTATGTTTAACCGGCTCACAGGATAGTAAAGAAAAGCTAAGTCTTGGCAAACAGGAGACTAACATCCTCAAAATTAGAACAGCTCTGAAATAAATTTCATATCTACACCACACAACTACTTTTTCACTTTCCAGAACATATTCATCAAGCACAAAGAGTGGTTTTTAGGAGGTTGGATGTTGACTGCACAAGCTGAGATTTACATTTTGTCATCCTTAAAGAAAGCTCGCCTTTGTCAAAAAACAAATTTTGACTATATGATACACATTTCTATAATGAACTCATTTTATTTGCTACATTTAAAGTAGAGCTGTTTTGGGCAAACTTTTAGCTTTGTTTGGAAACCTTGTAATAAATATAGCAAAATGAGGAGGGAGAGAAAATAAAGCAGTACTCTCCAGAAGTACGCTACAAATAATTAAATCACTAGTCCAAAAAAACAGTTTATTCCGGACAGGTGGATTATTTTATTTTTATGATACTCTGTAAAGAGAAGTAGCCGCAACTGTAAAATACAAGCAATGCAGTGATCAGAGGTCAGTAAATATGCCAAATACTATGCACAAGTAGAGACAATCTGCAAAAATGCACTTAGCTGTAGTTTTAGGTGAGGAGGTTAGTTCATGAAATTACTCTTAGTGCTGAGATTTTTGTATTGAATGCAAAGATGTGGTTATGAAATCTGATGCAGTTGCTGTGGTAGTGTCATGACATCTGTGTCACAACATCCTGATGTTTCACAGCCCTTCCCGTGAAATGAATATAAATTAATGTGAGCACTGCAGGTTATACATACCTGACTTGCATCCCAGCAAGATGCTCCACAGCAAAACAAAAGGTTTTCTATTTTTCATTATATCAGTCATTTACCCGATTTATTTTTAATAAATGCTAAAGGCAACCGAATGCCTCCATATAAAGTGGACACTAGGCTTCCTACTTCACAAGTACATAAGGCTATTAACAAATGGTGTAGGATTACTGCTGCAACAAGGTGTCACAGTGTAAAACAGGAAATCAGTTCAGCTATAGGCCTGACATTCCTGACTCTCACTCAAGGTAGGCTGGGGAACAGCATCTCAGCCCTTAGTCTTCAGCTGGAGGAATTCACCACTCTACACTGACAATACCAGGAAGTGGTATTAGAGAACAGTAGTCAGAAAAAAGCTAAGCGATAGGAACTTTTCTAAGGAAGTTGAAGGGTGGCAAAAATAGATGCAATAATGGAAGTGAAAAGGCTTTAATGTTCTTGACCCTACTTTACCTCTTCTGTAATAGAATCTAAAGATGATGTTGCTTCGTCATACAATATGATAGGAGGATTCTTTAGCATTGCTCTTGCAATGGCAACTCGCTGCTTTTCTCCTCCTGAACAAGAGAAAAAACAAGTTATTTTTGCCTTAATCACCAGTATATGATATCCTAACATGACACTGTTCGCCTCTTACACCAAAAGTTAGCTGCTGGAAAATAGGTGTGCCATCTTAAATGAGGGAAGAAAGAAAGCAGAGATCCTGCAGGAGCTAGATTACCAGTCAAACTGGGTGGGCAGCCAGCAGAGCCTGCAGTCAGCTGAGAACAGATCCTGGAGGAGCAGAACTACCTAGCCCAGGGGCAGGCAAAATATGGCCCATGGGCCAGATCCAGCCCACCAAGCCATTCTATCTGGCCCATAGGGCCCCTAAAATTAGAAAATTAATACTTATGTGCTCCTGGCTGCCTGTCAAAGATAGCAGGAGCCAAGGGCAATAGGACAGGGCAAGCTGGCAGCAGGACCCAATGACAAGGCCCTCCTGGCCTGGCCCCGCCCCTCCCTTCCCCTTTTTCCCTCCCTCATAG